TTGGACAGTGCCTGTAAACTGGTGTCTGATGTTCTCAGCACTTGGTACAAATGATTTTGTCCCAAGTATGCCCAAAACCCTGTGAACACACTAACCTATAATTTGGAAGTCTCCTCTTTCATAGAACATTCCTTCGGTTGTCTTCTTTTTTGCATATTAGTAAATAGTGGCCCTGGAAGATTTAAAGATTTAGGAGCAGAGGGAGATGGAAAAACAGAATCCCAAGTGGTCTCCCTACCTAGTGTGGGCCTCCTTGCAGGGCTTGACCCCACGACCCTGGGATCACAACCTGAGCGGAAGCCAACAGTCAGATGCTTAACTGACTGAACCAGCCAGGCGCCTCTGGCCCTGGAAGGTTTAAATGACTTGTTCAAGGTCACATTCAAGAGTCTTGGTTAGAGGGAATTGAATTTCTCCCTGACATGCTGTGTCCATTGTGTTTCATGACTAGGTACCATGAGACCAGTGTCTATTTCTCATCACCCAAATGCCCCAAATTGTTGAAAAATGGCAAATTTACTGTGAAAACTGGGTGTGTTTCTGTTTTGTTTTGTTTTTTTTTATAAGTTTAAGATCAGATATTTGAAGATTTTTGCAAAACCAGGGCTAAAACAAAACTTGGAAGCTTTGGTGACAATCCTGAGTCTCTTTAAGTTGGTGTGGCTCTTGATCTTGGGGTTGTGGGTTTAAGCCCCACATTGGGTGTAGTGGTTACTTAAGAAAAATAAAATCTTTTATTTTTTTTTTAAGATCTTTCTTTATTTGACAGAGATCACAAGTAGGCAGAGAGATAGGCGGCGGGGGGGCGGGGGCGGAAGCAGGCTCCCCGCTGAGCAGAGAGCCCGATGTGGGGCTCAATCCCAGGACCTTGGGATCATGACCTCAGCCGAAGGCAGGGGCTTAACCCACTGAGCCACCCAGGTGCCCCTGGAATTTAATAATTTCTGATGCTTGCTGTTGATATGCCACAGTGGAAGTTCCATTTTCTGATAAATGGAAAGAGAAAATATTAGCTTGAATAAATTTAATAATCAGTATGCATACAGCAAATTCCTGCTCAGTGCCTTTGAATTTTTAATTGACTTCATTGAGGTATAATTTATATATAATGAAGTTGAATTTTAAGTATGTATTTGAGTTTTGACAAACGTATTTACAGTTGTGTCACTGCTGCCACAATTATGAGCTGCTAGAACATTTTCATCACCTCCCCAAATCCCCATGTCCCTGGACAGTGAATCTTTCCTACCATTTGATCACAGCGTTTGACCCATTTAATGTACTGTTGAATTTGGTTTGCCATATTTTATCGAGGATCTTTGCATCTATGTTCATCAGGGATGTTGACCTGTAATTTTCTTTTCCTGTAGTGTCTGGTTTTGGTGTCAGAGTAATGCTGGCCTCATATAATGAGTTCCAGCCTTTGGCAACCACTTACTTGCTTTCTGTCACTATAATGTTGCCCTTTTTATGATTTCAAATAAATGGAATTATACTGTATATAGTCTTTGTATCTGACTCGTTAACTTGAGATGATGCTTTTAGGATTCATTTGTGTCTTTGCATGTATTAGTTTATTCCTTTGTTATCGCAGGGTAGTATTCTGGTGTATGGTTACAATCTATTTATCCATTCTGCCGTTGATGGACATTTGGATTAGTTCTAGGTTGTGATTGTTAGGAAGAATGCTGCTATTAACATTTGAGTACAGGTCTTCACATGGCCATATGCTTTCAGTTTTCTTGGGTGAAGACCTAGGAGTGGGTTTGCTGGGTCATGTGGTCAGGGTATGCTTTACTTCATAAGAAACCAAGAACCAATTTTCCAAAGTGGCGGTACCATTTTTCATTCCCATTGTTTATGTATGAGAGAGTTCCAGATGCTCCACATCTATGTCGGGGACTTGGTGTGATCAGCATCTTTCATTTTGGCCATTCCAGTAGGTGTGTAGTGGTATCTCAGTGTGGTTTTAAATTGCATTTCCCTGAATCTAAAAGGAAAAACCTACAGTTTTCTACCTGCTTGGGGCAAAACCCAGTCCTTCCTCCTGGGTTTTTCTCCTGGGTGTCTCTTTTACTACTCACACAGAGTATATTATCAAATGTGTGGGGTTCCCCTCCCCTGCCACCACCAAGCAATTTTCACACCAGCTGGATGTCCTGCACTGCAACTGAATTCTGACACTGTTTACCCACAGATACCATCAGATCTTACAGGTGAAGGGCTTAGTTCCACAGGAATACTTGCCCCCACCCCCAGTCCCTCTTTGGCCACCAGTCACAAGCCTAGGTTGTCATCTGTGCTTCTGACCAGTGGGCTATCGCTTGGAGCTTTCGCCGACCCCTCCATGGATTCTGTTGATTTGCTAGAGTGGCTCACAGAACTCAGGGCGACACGGTTCTCTGGTTTATTAAGGTAAATACAGATGAGCAGCTAGATGAAGAGCTACCTAGGGTGAAGTCTGGGCGTTTCCTCCATGCTGGAGCTTCTGTCTCTGTGGAGTTGGGGAGCATCACCCTTTCTAGTATGGATGTGTTGGACAACCTGGGAGATCTCGGAACGCCCTGCTATTAGGACTTTATAGAGGCTTCCTCGTATAGGCCTAATTAATTATTAACTCCATTTCCAGCCTTTCTAACCTCTTTGGAGAATAGGACTGAAAATTCCAGCCTTCTGATCCTGGCGTGGTCTCTCTGGTGACCAGCCCCCAACCAGAAGCTGTCCACGAGCTCATTCAGAGTCACCTCGAAAGAATAAAACCTGTTCCTTCTGCTTATCGCTTCGGAATTAACAAGGGTTTTAGGAGCCTGCTGTTAGTGAGGGGGTCGAAAACCAAATATTAAAACTAGATATTCCTCATGTTCTTATCACTTAGGAAGTAAGAAGGATTTTAGGAGTCTTCTGCCAGGAACCAGGGGCAGAGACCAACGTGCATATTTTCTGTTATCTCACACTGATGATTAATGATGTTGAATAGCTCTTTGTGGCCTACTGGCCACTTGTGTATCTCCTTTGGAGCAATGTCTCTTCAGATCTTTTGCCTATATTTTACTGGTTGTCGTCTGTTTTTGTGTTGTAAGAGTTCTTTCTGTATTCTGCATACAAGTCCTTTATCGCATGTGTGTTTTGCATAGATTCTGTCCTACCTGATATGCTTTTTCCTTTTCTTTGTAGGAGTCTTTCACAGAATAAAAGTTTTATTCCTTTATCAATTTTTTTCTCTTAATATATTGAGTTTTTTGTATCTTACTCTAAGAAATTTTACCTAATTCAAGATAAAGATTTCACCTATCTTTTCTCCTAGGAGTTTTATAGTTTTAGCTCTTATATTTAGGTCTGTGGTCCATTTTGAGTTCCTTTTTACTTATCATGTGCGGTTAAGGTTGAGGGTCATTTTTGTATATACGGAGAACCAAGTGTTCAGCACTGTTTAGCTAAACTAGTCTTGCCTCATTGACTACATGTATATGTATGTATGTGTGTGTGTATCAGTCTGTTTCTGGGTTCTCTCTTCTCTTCACTGGGTCTGTAGATTTATCTTCATATCAAAAACACTGTCTTGATTGTTGTAGCTTTAAAGTAACTCTTGAGATCAGTTAGTGTAAATCTTCCAACTTTATTCTTTTCCACTATAGTTTTCATTTCTGTAGGTCCTGTGCATTTCCATGTAAATTTTATTTTATTTTATTTTTTTTTTTTATTTTTTATTTTTTTTTTTTTTTTAGATTTTATTTATTTATTTGACAGACAGAAATCACAAGTAGACAGAGAGAGAGAGGAGAAAGCAGGCTTCCTGCTGAGCAGAGAGCCCGATGCGGGGCTCGATCCCAGGACCCTGAGATCATGACCTGAGCTGAAGGCAGAGGCTTTAACCCACTGAGCCACCCAGGCGCCCCTCCATGTAAATTTTAGAATGAGTTTGGCTTTTTCAACAAAAAAACTTGCTGGGGTTTTTACTGGGATTGCATTTTATGAATAGATCAATTTGGGAGAAATTGACATCTTAATAATATTGAAAATTTTTATCTGGGCTTTGATTTTTGGATTTTGATTTTTGGATATTATACTTCGCTAATATTCATGAAGCAAGATTTATTTATTTACTTATTTATTTAGTATTTTTATTATTATTCTGTGGAAACGTTGAAAAGACTTTTTGTTGAGTATTCCCAACTTCCCCTTATGTGACTAAATAAAGATTTTTACCAGATAGGATATGACCAGCTCTTAGATTTAGTTCCTTTTTTTTGGTGAGCAAAAGGAAAAAGTAAAAGAGGAAGGTAAATAATTTTTGAGTAACCTAAGAAGATCTTTATAACTGCTAAACCCTGTGAAAACCAGTGACATTATTTATCTCATTTTAAGCCTAGGTCTTATCCCCATTACAGAAAATTAATATACCTTCTTAATTATGTTCTAGGTCAGTGCTTTTCAAATTATGGTTTCAAAACATTTTTAGTATCACATACAGGGTAGTAGCTTTAGTTTTTTGAGTAGCACCTGATGTGCTAAACTACTTGATTGAATTTTAATTTGGGGGAATTCACTCCTGGCGCAATATTAGTGGTGGCACAAAATGTAAACCTATGATGGGAACAAATGAGGAAATCCTAGATCTGGGATCTCCTTTCTTAAATTTAGGATAGGCTAAAAGCAAAGAGATTAGAAAACACCCCTCTGCTTCTTGGACAATTTGATAGTCTGTGACTTAAAAATCTTACCTAAGTCTCAGTTTAATTTAATCATTTTCACTGACCAGCCATAAGTAAAAAACCAGCTATTTTCAATGTTGGAAGTAGTCTCTGTTTTTAGGTTTCTAGGTTAAAAAAAAAAAAGAAAAAGAAACAGGTAAAGTTCTATTGTTTGAAATTGCCAGAGTATTTTCATAAATAGAGGCATAACCAAAATTATTAGCAGGTACCAGAACCACTGCCTTCTCCTCACTTTAATGGAAATTTTAATCTAGAGAAGCAAATCTCTTACACTGGGTTTTGTTACAGCTAGTCCTCCTCGATTTGTGACAGTAGAAGAACTTCTAGAGACAGCGAAAGGAGTCACTAACATGGCTCTAGCCCATGAAATTGTAGTAAATGGAGACTTTCGGATTAAACCAGTCGAATTACCAGAAGACAGGTAAGGCGGTTACTGAGTTACCTTGTTTAGAGGAACTCTGCCATTTCCCAGTTCTGGAAAGGTCTTCTCCGCTTGATGTCAGCATATTCAAATGTATTTTTTCCTATTGTATGTTGTTGCTAAAAAAAAATCCCTCAGTATGTCTGTGCTTGGAATCACTAGTGTTTGGAAATGGATCTCAGGACCACTGATCATAAATGAAAGGTCTAGGAAATCTGTGGACACCTTCATGTCAGCTTTCCCCTACTGCATAGGGCTTAGCTGTCCTATCTTGTGTTTTCATTGTATTGTTTCATTCATTTCTTGTAAACTATCACATTGTACTATAATTGTTGGTTTACTGTGTTCTTCACCAGATTGTAATCTACAAAGACAAGGGCTGTACGTTATTTTCTATGTCCATAGCACCTGGCACACATCATATTGAATCTAAAACTCTTGAGTGTAAAGTGTACCTTCTAGAATGTATTGTCATAAGAAAGAAAAATCATTGCCCATTTTAACTGTACAATTGTCGTGATAAACATTGGAGGAGGAATGGCTGCTGGGTTGCCGAGCTATGGTGTCACACACATGAGCCTTTTATGACTTTATAGACCTTTCTTCTGTGTTCTGCAAAGATAGTACTTTTTCACATTAATAATGAAGAACTACTTGTTTTGCTCTCACAATATAAAGACTTTGTTTTTTTTTAAGATTTTATTTGTAAGTAATCTCTACACCCTACATGGGGCTCAAACTCCAAACCCTGAGATTATGCTCTACTGACAAGCCAGCCAGGCGCCGCCAGATACTGGTTTTAATGAGATGTTATATGTTAGTGGTAAGAGTTCGGTACCTAATTAAGCAAGTATCACACAGATGACATAGGAATAGGATATTTTCTGGAAATAAAGTACTTCAGCCTATATATGTGCCGAGTTGTTATCTTAAACTGCTTAATCATAAATATCTTAAGGAACTTGGTGTTTTCCGGGAAAATTAAAACAGCTCTGAACTTTTCAATATGCTTTTTAGCCTATGGCACTGTTATGTGCTATTAATTGGCCCAATGTCATCTGTCAAATGAGTTGAAAGTTATTCTGTCCAATGAGTTATTTATTGAAATAAATCACTAAACTTAAAATAAGGCATGTGCTTGGTTTAAGTATATCCAGGAAATCTTTCCTTCATCCAAATAATTTTTTTTAAAGATTTTATTTATTTATTTGACAGACAGAGATCACAAGTAGGCAGAGAGACAGGCAGAGAGAGAGAGGAGGAAGCAGGCTCCCTGCTGAGCAGAGAGCCCGATGTGGGGCTCGATCCCAGGACTCTGAGATCATGACCTGAGCCGAAGGCAGAGGCTTTAACCCACTGAGCCACCCAGGCGCCCCATCCAAATAATTTTTAAAATTTCTCACCCTCAACTTGTAGAATTTGTGCTTTTGGAAGTGATTTGAGGCTCAAATATTTTATTTGCTTATTTTTTTTCCCATTTGATTCCAGTTTGGAGAAGAGAGTGAAGGAGATTGTACATAAAGCTTTTTGGGATTGCTTGAGTGTCCAGCTAAGCGAAGACCCCCCCACATACGACCATGCCATCAAACTTGTTGGGGAAATCAAAGAGGTGAGGCAAAGAGCCAAGTGCTTTTTTGGTCTGTTTGGAGTAGTCAGCTTCTCTGTGTTTCTGCACCAAAAGACTCGAAAGAAATTGAAGGATAAGTTAAAACTTGTACTTGTTGAAATGTGGATTAAGACTATTTTTGGCTCAATGTGCTTTTAAAAATTTGAAACAAGCCATGATAACTTGAAGGCTTTACTTTTGTAAATGAAGTTGTATTTGTCTGTGTGTATGTATTTTTTTAATATTTAAAGATTGAGAGCAAGAGAGCACACGTGGGAGCAGGGTGAGAGGGAGGGCAGAATCGAGCAGACACTGCGCTGAGCAAGGAGCCCAACATGGGGCTCGATCTCACAACCCGATGACCCTGAATTCATGATCTGAGCTGAAACCAAGACTTAGACGCTTAACTGACTGAGCAAACCAGGTGCCCCTGAAGGTTCATATTTTTAGAAAGAATTATTTAAAGAAAACAAAAGTTATTTTACAATATAGGTGGTTTGTAAATAAAAATTAATAAGTGTGGATGTGTTCAATTTATAATGGCCAAAAAAATGATTCAGTCCATGGGATAGAGAAGGCATTATGTAGAAGTTAATTCTTTTGCAAATACCTTTAGCAGTGGTATCAAAGAAATATATTGGTGGAAATTGACATCTATGTTGGCTCAGAGGCTCACATTAATTATGTTTTTTCTCACTTTTAACAGTTTATCTTTTATCTGAGGGACTGCTACATAAACCTTAAATGGAAGATTAAATAACGAGTCTAAATGATTTGCAAACAGGGCACCGGCTGGCTCAGTCAGTAGGGCACGCAACTCTTGATCTCAAGTTTGTGAGTTTGAGCCTCATGTTGGGCATAGAGCCTATTTTAAAAATAAATAAATGATTTGTAAACATGTTTTCTATCCATGATTAAATAAAAGGTTAAAATATGTATCACAGTAACAATTGTATTACAGTAACAACTGATAAGCCCTTATTTGGGTCATTGTGAGTTCCTTTGCATATAATAAAAAATGATGTCTGACTAAGAAACTTTGATTTAACTTAGCTGTGCTCTTTTGTAGACTCTCTTATCTTTCTTGCTGCCTGGTCACACTAGACTGAGAAACCAGATAACAGAAGTCTTGGATCTGGATCTGATAAAGCAAGAAGCAGAGAATGGGGCCTTAGACATTTCCAAGCTGGCAGAATTCATTATTGGTATGATGGGGACCCTCTGTGCCCCTGCTCGAGATGAGGAAGTCAAGAAACTAAAGGACATTAAGGAAATAGTGCCCCTTTTCAGGTATAGGAATCATGTTAATCCCCTTCAGTGTGCTTAAAATACAGAGCCTTTTCTCTTTTACTTTTCTTTTTAGATTTATTCATCTTGGAGTGGGGGGAGGGGCAGAGGGAGAGAGTCTCAAATAGACTTCATGCTGAGCGTGGACACAGGGCTCAATCAGAGCCTGTTTTCAAATTTAGAATTCAAGTGTAGATACATGTGAATTTTTTTTTTTTTAATTTATTTGACAGAGAGAAATCACAAGTAGACAGAGAGGCAGGCAGAGAGAGAGAGAGAGGGAAGCAGGCTCCCTGCTGAGCAGAGAGCCCGATGTGGGACTCGATCCCAGGACCCTGAGATCATGACCTGAGCCGAAGGCAGCGGCTTAACCCACTGAGCCACCCAGGCACCCCGATACATGTGAATTTTTTAAAAAATTAAAAAACAAACATTTTGTAAAATATAGAAAAGTAGAAAGAAGAAAAAAAATCATCCATAATTTTACCATCTAGAGGCAAAATCACTGTTAATCATGTTGATATTTTTTTTGTTTTCTCCCTCAATGCTTTATTTTGAAAAATTCCAAACGTACAAAAAAGTTTAAAAAAAAAAAAGAGAGAAGAAACCATGTGGTTAATACTCATGTATCCTTTACACAGATCTCCTAGGGTTTTTGTTTGTTTGTCTTAAATATTTACATATTTGAAAGAGAGGGAATGTGGTGGGGAGATAGCTTGGAGCCTGTTGTGGGGCTCAGTCATGACACTGAGATCATGACCTGAGCGGAAATCAAGTCAGATGCCTTAAACAACTGAGCCACCCAGGTGCCTCCAGACGTTGTGACATTTTACCCTTAAACCTTTGAGTAGGTGTCTCCCAAAAATGTGGACATTCTTCTATATAATTAAAAAAGAGGGTCATCTTGCTGGTTCAGTCACTAGAGTGTGTGACTCTTGATCTCTAGGTTGTGAGTTCCAACCTCACATTGGGTGTAGAGATTACTTAAAAATAAAATCATAAGCAAGGGGCATGTTGGTGGCTTGGTTGGTTGAGTATCTCCCTTTTGCTCAGGTTAGGATCCCAGGGTCCTGGGATTGAGCCCCACATTGGGCTCTCTACTCAAGCGGCCTGCTCGTGTGCACGCTTTCTCTGTGCTAAATAAATAAAATCTTAAAAAATAAAAATCTTAAAAACAAAACCAAGATATTGAAGAAATTTAACATGAATATAATTCTATTAACTGACATATAATTCATATTAACTTCCTTTGGTTTTTTGGATGTTTATTTTTAAAGATTTTTTTTTTTTTTGGTTTATTTTATTCATGAGAGAGACAGAGAGAGGCAGAGGGAGAAGCATGCTCCCTGCTGAGCAGGGAGCCTGATGCGGGACTCTATCCCAGGACCACCCCGGGATCATGACCTGAGCTGAAGGCAGACGCTTAACCAACTGAGCCTCTCAGATGCTCGGGTGTTTATTTTTAAATATATATAATCATGATCAAATTTATATAATTTTTTAAAAAGATTTTAATTTATTTATTTGACAGAGATCACAAATAGGCAGAGAGGCAGGCAGAGAGAGAGGAGGAAGCAGGCTCCCCGCTGAGCAGAGAGCCCCATACAGGGCTCGATCCCAGGACCCTGAGATCATGACCTGAGAGGCTTTAACCCACTGAGCCACCCAGGTGCCCCTATATAATTTTTTTTAAAGTAGGCTCCACACCTAAAGCTTTTATGCCTGACCCTGAGATCAAGAGTTGCATGCTGTACCAACTGAGACACTCCGGATTTATATAATTTTTCTGATACTATTATTGACAAACAATTGACATGATGCTGCGTGAGAATTTGACTTTTGGCCAACTGCTTAGCTCTGTTTTTCCTGTAAACAGATAAAGGTGTTCTGCATCAAAAGGCTACCCTGCCGTGTTGCTTGTGGGGAAAGTGACTCTGGTACATTGCGTCTGGACGGAAAGTAATGATAATGAACTATACGTAGTGACTGGGACACCACACTTTGGAAGTCCTTTAGGGGAGTAGCTTTTTTAACAGCTCATGTCCCTAATGGAGACACTAGAAGCCATGCCGTAGAATTATTACAAACTCTATTAACACAAATATATACATAAATATGTTAGCCGGGCAGCCCCCAAACGTCTGTCTTCTCTCAGCTGTTACTGTAACCTGCGTGCTGCTGCCTTCTTGGCCATCTGAGTGCCTAGATGATGCCAGACCTCGTGAGCCCAAATGTTCAGCTAACTCTAAGAAGTCCTCCTGGTGGGCATGCGGGCCTAACTTTTTCTATAAACCTTACACCCTAATTAGGGGCGCCTGGGTGGCTCAGTCGTCAAGTGTCTGCCTTCAGCTCAGGTCATGATCCCAGAGTCCTGGGATTGAGCCCCAAACTGGGCTCCTTCTTCCAAGGGAAGCCTGCTTCTTCCTCTCCCACTCCCCCAGCTTGTGTTCCCTCTCTTGCTGCCTCTCTCTCTCTCAAATAAATAAATGAAATCTTAGATAAATAGACAAACAAACATATCCTATTTCACTTTTTTTTTAAATTGAAAGTGTCATTGAGATAATTGTGTATTCGTGTGGAGTTGTAAGAAATAATACAGGACACTTCATCCAGCGTCCCCCGAAGCTGACCTTCCGCAGAACTGCAGGGCATCACAACTAGACTGTTGAGATGAGTACAATCCAGGGACCTCACGTAGATTTCCAGTTTTACTTGAATGCGTTTGTGTCTGTATATTAATTTTTATATAATTTTATCCCTGTGTAAGTTTGTGTATCCACCACTGCATTCAAGGTCCTGGGCAGTTCCAACACCACAGGATTCCTTTTGTAAAACCAATGTAGATTATGTCTTAAAACTCCCACAAGTATTTGCAAAGGCTGCAAAATATTTATTTGCATAGATATGGCTAACTATTACCCTATGAAGATGGACAATTAGAGTACATATAATTACTGTTTAATCCTATCCTTGCACATAAAGCTTTTTTCTATATTTTAGATTATTTCCTAACTATAAGTTCTTTAGGGTGTGAGAGCACAAGCATGGGGAGCAGCAGAGGGAGAAGGAGAAGCAGACTCCCCGCTGAGCAGGGAGCCGGATGCAGGGCTCAGTTGTGAGCAGGACCCTGGGATCATGACCTGAGCCAAAGGCAGATGCTTAACCGACTGAGCCACCCAGGCGCCCCTAAGTTCTTAAATAGGATTCCTGTGTCAGAGGATAGGAACAGTTTTAAGATTCTCCCTGCTTGTTACCAAGTTGCTTTCCAAAAGTTCCTTTTATTTTCAGCTTTTTTTTTTTTAAGATTTTATTTGAGAGAGAGAGCGTGAGCATAAGCGGTGTGGGTGTGGGGAGAGGGGCAGAGGGAGAGGAAGAAGCAGGTTCCCTGTTGAGCAGATAGCCTGGATGTGGGGCTTGATCCCAGGACCCTGGGACCAGCACCTGAGCTAAAGGCAGACACTTAACCGACTGAACCACCCAGGTGCCCTTATTTTCAGCTTTCTTGATATCCTTATATAAGTGGTTTGTATAAAAATGCTCTGCATTGTGAAGTTACCTTAGGGTTTAGAAAGCATTGAAACACCTCCCAAAAAGGGGCACCTGGCTGGTTCATTCCGTAGAGTGTGTGACTCTTAATCTCCGAGTCATGAATTCAAGCCCCACACTGGGTGTGGAGATTACTTAAAAATAAAATTTTTTTTAAAGGTTTTATTTATTTATTTGACAGACAGAGATCACAAGTAGGCAGAGAGGCAGGCAGAGAGAGAGGGGGAAGCAGGCTCACTGCTGAGCAGGGAGCCCGATGTAGGGCTCGATCCCAGGACCCTGGGATTATGACCCGAGCTGAAGGCAGAGGCTTAACCCACTGAGCCACCCAGGCACCCCTAAAAATAAAAATCTTGTTGGGGCTCCTGGGTGACTCGGTTGGGCGTCTGCCTTTGGCTCAGGTCATGGTCCTGGGGTTCCAGGATCAAGCTCTGTCCGGCTTCCTGCTTATCGGGGAGTATGCTTTTCCCTCTGCCCCTCACCCCGTTCGTTTTCTCTCTCTCTCTCTCCCCACCTCTCCGTCTCTCTCTCAAATAATAAAAATATTTCTTAAAAAAAATCTTAACAAAAAACTAAAAATGGATGTGTTTATTCATGCAACAAGCTCTTACTGAACATCTCTCAAGCAGTGGGCCTAGTGCTAAATGTTAGAATAGTCAGAAAGAGCTTCTAATAAGGCCAAGTGAGGAGTTCCTAGGAAGTGAGTCCTCTGGGGAAATAACTTGCAGCAAACTCAACCTAAACTCAAATTCCTACTGAGACAGAGAAGGCCCGGGGAGCCCGGCAAAAATGGGAGTCCGTACACTGTTGAAAGGGAGGCAGCTGAATGTGGGCCCACGTTGTCAGATCTTCTCATTTCTCAGGAGAGGCTGGAAATGGAGGTCTTTGAAAACACATTGGGAGCACAAACGAGTTCGTGGGCTACTCGTCAGTGGCTGCCAGTGGGCAGTTTCCAGCCGTCACTGGTCTGCAGTAGGTTGATTTAGGGAATGCTAAGGAGTGCTCAGAGGAGAGGCAGAATGTGCCCTGGAGAAAGGGGGCTGTCCCATGTACTTGGGAGGTGGACAGGATGGCAGGGGAAAGTCCACAAATCGTTCTCAGACTGTGTGTCTTTTCCATAATAAACACCCACACATAAGGTCATTGTATCATACAGTGTTAGGTCAGTCCCAGAGGGCATCAGGGGGACTCAGAGGACATTTGACCCTGTTCTTCCTTCCATGTGGGGCCACACCCAAGCCTGTACCTTGGGTTCTCAGCCAACCTTCAGCAAATAGGTCCCTTAGCAGCTCCCAGCCTCTGGAGAGAGAGGTATGGTACCTGACAGGCAGGATTCGAGGCGTCCTGAGCGTCGGGTCAGGTCTGCTCATCTGGTACATTCAGAGTGCGAGCTCACAGTTCTGCTGCAAAACTAGAACGGAAAGCAGGCCTTGAAACGAAGATCCTGGGGAGAGAGAGGAGAGAGTTCTTATTCTTTCTTTGCTGGGAAAGTGAATTAGCCTGTGTGACAGTGAAGACTGGGTGGTCCCGTGTCTGCCCTTGACCTTGGGTCCTGGCTGTCCTTCCTCTGTGCCTCCAGGAGGGCTGACCCAGTGCCAAGGATCGAGTTCCAGCCTAGACAGGCAGTGAGGGAGCTGTGTTTGCTTGGAGGTAGGCTGTGGAGGAGTGGGGACAGAAGGCAGCTTAAAAACTTAGTCTTTTTAGGGGCGCCTGGGTGGCTCAGTGGGTTAAGCCTCTGCCTTCGGCTCAGGTCATGATCCCAGGGTCCTGGGATCGAGCCCCACATCAGGCTCTCCTGCTCAGCAGGGAGCCTGCTTCCCCCTCTCTCTCTGCCTGTTGCTCTGCCTACTTGTGATCTCTGTCTGTCAAATAAATAAATAAAATCTTTAAAAAAAAACCTTAGTCTTTTTAATCTGTTACTTAAATTTTTGTGTTTTCTAAATTTTTCTTATTTTATGTTTGTTTATTTATTTATTTATTTTAAAGATTTTATTTATTTATTTGACAGAGAGAGATCACAAGCAGGCAGAGAGGCAGGCAGAGAGAGAGGAGGAAGCAGGCTCCCTGCTGAGCAGAGAGTCTGATGCGGGGCTCAATCCCAGCACCCTGAGATCATGACCTGAGCCGAAGGCAGCGGCTTAACCCACTGAGCCACCCAGGTGCCCCTTATGTTTATTTTTTATTAAATAATCTTTTTGCCCCATGTGGAGCTCAAATTCACGACCCCAGGGTCAAAAGTCGCATGCTCTACCGGCTGAGCCAGCCAGGCGTCCCCGCTAAATTTGTTTTTCTTGATCTACTTGCTGCCCTTTTTGAGAAGAAAAGCCTCTCTCAAATCTGCTGCCTTCTTTCCTCCAAGACAGTGCTTCCTTGACACGTGCCCAGTTCTAAATGCTTTTCTTCCTTTTCTTTCAGGGCAATTTTTTCCGTGCTGGACCTTATGAAAGTGGACATGGCAAACTTTGCCATCACTAGCATTAGGCCGCATCTCATGCAGCAGTCCGTGGAATACGAAAGGAAGAAGTTTCAACAGCTTTTGGAGAAGCAGCCAAGTATGTCCAATGCTTTGTGGCTCCTGCACTCTTTCTCCATTTCAGGGCCATAGCTGGTTGCACAACGACACTCTTTGCCAAATAAAACTCAAATTTTGTATGGGAGTGTTCTGATTTCAAGATCGAAAAGTACCAGACTTTGGACTTGACAATGGACAAACAAGAGAAACAGAAGTAGAATATAAGAAAAGAAATTTAAAAGAACCAAGAAGTCCTAAATTAGGTTTTTAATGAAAACATCAGTTTGGGGTAAATCGTATGCTTGGCCTTAATTTTTAAAACATGACAGACTTCTTGTGACTGTTTAATTCACTTACCCCTCTCTCAAAGGTACAGGAAGAAATCTTACTTTGCCTCCGTTCTATATGCAGAAAATCTTTCTGGTTTTATACCCAGAAAAAGTCTCATTTTCATAAACCTCTCAGATGACTGCAGGAGTACAGTAGGACTATAGCATGCAAAGCTGTGTTGCATTTCTAGGATGGTTTTGGGGGGGTTCTTTGCATCGACAGCTGATAGTCCTGGTTAATTACAGTCTTTGGATCCAATTTATTTATTTATTTTAAGATTTTATTTATTTGAGGGTCACCTGGGTGGCTCAGTCAGTTGAGTGTCAGCCTTTGGCTCAGGTCATGATCCCTGATGATCCCTCTCTCCTTCTGCTTGCCACTCCCCCTGCTTGTACTCTTGCTCTCTCTCTCTCTGTCACTGTCAAATAAATATATAAAAGCTTAAAAAAAAAAAGATTTATTTGAGAGAGAGCACTGCCGGGGGGTGGGGCAGAGGCAAACAGAGCGAGAAGCAGGCTCCCCGCTGAGCAGGGAGCCGGACATGGGGCTTAATTCCCAGGACCCTGAGATCATGACCTGAGCTGAAGGCAGATGCGTACCCAACTGAGCGCCCCTGGATCCAATTTATTATGAGTTCCATTTAGCCACTAACTGGGGTGGTTAAGAAAGAAAATGGTGGTCTCTGGCTAGATTGTGTTGCTGGCCAGAGCAGGTGCGCATCCCGACGCAGACAGAGAAGGCCGAGCAGGCCCAGAAGGGGTCAGGACAGCGGCGAGCAGAGGAAACTGTACTGGGAGAAGAGCGGCTGCTGTTCCCGGCACATACACAAGGCGTGGGTTGGGGGCGTGGGCCTTACCTCGCATAACCCTCCTGCCGTGAGCCACTATTTTACTATTTTTTAAATTCCAGTTTATGGATGTGGACCTCGATTTTTTTTTTAAGGTTTTATTTATTTATTTGACACAGAGAGATCACAATAGGCAGAGAGGCAGGCAGAGACAGAGGGAAGCAGGCTCCCTGCTGAGCAGAGAGCCCGATGCAGGGCTCGATCCTAGGACCCCGAAACCATGGCCTGGGCCAAAAGCAGAGGCTTAATGCACTGAGCCATCCAGGTGCCCTATCGATTTTTTTTTTAAGAGCTTTTATTTATTTGACAGACCGAGGTCACAAGTAGGCAGAGAGGCAGGCAGAGAGAGAAGGGAAAGCAGGTTTCCTGCTGAGCAAAGAACCTGATGCAGGGCTCCATCTCAGGACCCTGGGATCATGACCTGAGCTGAAGGCAGAGGCTTTAACCCACTGAGCCACCCAGGTGCCCCTGGACTTCGATTTTGAGAAATTTTTGACCAGAATGGATTGACCGCCTGGTTGATTTTCTCACCAGAGTTGTCCTCAGGAGGTATCCAGGCTGCCAGTTTTCCAGGCCAAAGAGCCTTAGTGTGCGAGTCCGGTGCCAGCAGCCAAAGGCCCAGAGAGGAGCTGCTGCTGTGGCCCCTGTGCCGGTCAGACGCCCCCTGCCTCCTCACATGGCCAAGCTGGGGGACTACAGAGCGTGCCGCCTGCAGAAGGCTAAAGGGACAGCATGGCTGCCCACCAGGACCTCTGCGCTGCTCGTGCGTTTACACCGGTGCTTCCTGCGTGTTCCAGGAGCTGTCAGAGGGATTTTCTTCTCCCGTCGTGTGGATAAAAACCTCGTCTTTCTCTTGTGCCCCCTCAGAATCCCTGGTGCATTTCTCAGCTTAGAAAAGGAGGGAGCACCCGGGGGCAGATGAAAGACACTCGCGATCCTCCCAGTGGTGCTCCGGATGCCACAGAAGCCGCGTCCTAGGGGCGGCACGGCTCCCCTCCCATGAGGTTGAAGGCAAACGAGCTTGATGGGAGACTCAGATCCAGACAAGGAAAAGGCCTCATTTTCAATGCGGAGGATACTTTATACTGGGAGACTCTCGCCTGTGTCTCCTCCTGTGTCTGGGCAAGAATTTTTGCATCTACCTGAGCTGGAGTCCTCAGAGCCTCTGCCTTGTCTCCTGCGGTGGTCGGGGTGGGGGTGAGGGCCATCGTTTTCCGGACGGCTGTAGGTGGCCAGGCCTGGCTGTGTGCTTTGTATTCACTATCTTGTTAATCCTCGGAACTGCCTACCAGGTGGTGGTGTCCATCTCTTTGTAGGAGGAATCTGATCATCCTTAGCTGGTAATGGCAATATTGTGATTTAAACCGAGTTCTGTTTGGTTCCAAAGTCTGTACTCTGTATTACTCTGTATATACCACACCTTCAGGATGATTGTGCCACACCTTCAGGATGATCTTCCCTAAAGCCATTCCAAGAAGTGTCCCTCCTGAGTGTCATGGTAATGTGGGTGGCCTTGTTTTTCACAGATTCCCTGGACTTTGTCACCCAGTGGCTGGAAGAAGCTGCAGAGGACCTTCTGAATCAGAAGTATCAAAGTGCCCTGCCAGCTGGGGGAGGGGCGGCCGGCTCTGGGGATGGCCCCACGCCAAATCCTGTGGCTGTCCAGAATTATGCATACCTGAAGCTTCTGAGATGGGACCACCTGCGGAGACCTTTCCCGGAAGTAGGTGCTGCAGAGCGGTCTAACTGCTCGTTTCTTTCTGTGGGGCAGAACTTTGAAAAAATAAGTTTTGCGATGATACAGTTCTCTTACCTGAAAATGTCCCCTTTTAAACGGAACAATTCGGTGGGTTTTCATCAATTTACAGTTAGAGGACCAAAGCGTTTTCATCACCCTAAAAAGAGACCCTGTGCCCTTTCCCCACTCCCCTCCCCAGTGGCAACCACTAATCTATTTCCTGTCTCTATGGATTTGCCGCTTCTGGACATTTCGTATAAATGGGATCCTGCACTATCGGCCTTTTGTGTCCGGCTTCTTAGACTGAGCATGGTGTTCATCCATGTCATATGTATGAGTGCTTCATTTTTTGATTGGAAGTTGTATTTTTTAACCGCAAAATATGCGTAATACAAAATATACCGTCTTTTTTTTTTTTCTTTTTAGTTTTTTAAGTAAGCTCTGCGCCCAGCGTGGGGCTCGAACTCACAACCCTTGGATCAGGGGCTGTGCACTCCACCAACTGAGCCAGCCAGGCGCCTCAAGATTTCCCATCATTATGTGTACAGTTCAGAGCGTAAAGGACGTTCTTATGGTTGGGCCACCATTACTCACTGTCCTCTCCAGAACTTTCCCGTCTTCACAAATTCAAACTCTTTTTTTTTTTTTTTTTTTAGATGTTATTTATTTATTTGACAGACAGAGATCACAAGTAGGCAGAGAGGCAGGCAGAGAGAGAGAGCGGGGAGGTGGGGGGAAGCAGGCTCCCAGCTGAGCAGAGAGCCCGATTCAGGACTCGATCGCAGGACCCTGGGATCATGACCTGAGCCGAAGGCAGAGGCTTAACCCACTGAGCCACCCAGGCGTCCCTCAAACTCTTTAAATACCTTTAAACACACCTCCTGCCTCCCTCCGCCTTGCCCCTGGCAACCATCATTGTAATTCGTGTCTCTGGATCTGACAATTCCAGATGCCTCATATGAATGGAATCCTACAGTGTTTGTCCTTTTGTGTCTGGCTTCTTTCACTCAGTGGATTGTCTTCAGGCTTCACCCGTGTTGTGGTGTGGGTCAGCGTTTTCTTTTTAAGTCCGAACAACACTCCACCGTATGTCCCACATTTTGTTGAGTCATTCATCAGTTGACAGACGTTTGGGTCGTTTCCACTTTTTGGCTACTGTGAACTGTGCTGCCCTGAATGTTTGTGTACACATTTTAGCAGGGGGGCATGTCTTTGCAGTACTCTTGGGTGAATACCTAGGATGAGAATTGCTGGGTCACGTGGTGACTTGAAGTTTCACACTCAGAGGAACTGAGTTTTCCCCAAGAACTGTCTACCCCCACCCCTGCACCCCAAGCAGCTGCACCACTTCCCCATCCCCCAGCGGTACACGGGCCTTCCAGTGTGTGCCGCTGAGCTGCTGTCCTGTTTTTACATGACTTGATTAAACCCATAACAGTGATGTTGCGTTTCAGTTTTATGTAAAAAATACTACTTCCCATTCCATGTGCAGGATAAAAACAAACCAACCATAAAGGTTTTTCACAATAAGTACTTCTTACTAAGAAGATGATAAACAAGGGATTTCTCCCATTTTTGTCTGTAACCTGCTGGTTTGGTGTGGAGACCGCCTCATTTTTGAGGACACTTGGGGTTTTTATCTCTAGCCTCAGAAACTGCTACTTCTCTAAATCTTTCTCCTCTAAGTTCCTTATTTTTCCTTTGAAGACGCTGTACGCCCACGGCTTCACTCTTGCCTCTGAGTTCCCTGTTTCTTGCCAAAGGAGGCTTTAAGAGGGTGTGGTATTGAGAGGGTAGGGGACGCCCCTTTCCGAACGGTGACATGTTCTCACCTGGAGGGCCGTTCGCAGACTGACATTTCTTTTAAAATACTGCTGTGGGGAAGATGTTGTTTTCGTTGGACACCAATGTCTACCCGCAGGATTGATCATTGGAAATGTTTTGTACCCTAAACCCCAGTCCTGCACAAAGCCAGATGCTGCTGTGTAACATGGTGAAGTCAGGGAAGAGGCTGAGTCTGGGCAAGCATCTTTGTTTAACAGAGGATCCGGACTCTTTAGGATTTTTAAATTTTATTTATTTATTTGACAGAGAGAGACACAGCGAGAGAGGGAACACAAACACACAAGCACTGGGGAGCTGGAGAGGGAGATGCAGGCTCCCCGCTGAGCAGGGGGACCCCAGAATCATGACCTGAGAGGAAGGCAGATGCTTAATGACTGAGCTACCGGGGTGCCCCCAGGATCCTGAATCTTAAAGATGGTTTTCAGTGCTTGAGAAGAGCTCTAGGCTAAGACCCTAAATTGTTAATGTCTTGATTTGGTGGGCCTGTTTCTTATAGCAAAACTGGCCCTTCACATTTATTTGGGTTACCTGTAGAAACTCCCATCGGAAGGGATATCTCGTCAGCCTTTCCAGTGTGTTCTTTCCTTTATCCTACGCAGGGCACTTTGACCTGGTAGGACGCATGGATGTCTGCCACGGGGGATGCAGTCGGAGAAACTCAGTCACTGCTTTCTGGGTGGCTTTGGTTTGTTTTCTGTCATTCCTCCTTTTTCTACTTTCGGTTTCTTTTTTGTTTTCTTCATTCACTTGCCAACTCTGAGGGGGCCTCCTTTGTGCTATATAGTGAGGGGGACACCAAGGTGAATCACGTAGGCTCTCCCTTCCAGCAGCTTCTCCCCTCCTTCCCTCCGGGGCTCTGGCTGGGGTGCCTAACTGCCTGGTTTGCTCTGGACTGGTGTTGGCGGGGAGAGAGGTCACAGGACTTGGGAGTTCCAGTTTTAAAGCTGGGACAAACCAGGGTGAGTTGGTCATCCTAGCCCCGTATCTCATTACTCTTTCCTGTCTAACGATAGAACTCCTAGTTACTGAGTGTTGGCTCCGCCAGCCCACTTTAGATCCATGGCCTTCCATCTTTAGGACATTCCCGAGAGGCAAGAATCCCTGGTCTGTGCAGGGCTCAGGCCGCTGAAGAAGCTGGCGTGAGGTTATCCTGCGTTTCAGTGGTGGTCTGCCTCGGGTTCTCAGTGGGCTCTAGGGCAGCCTTCCTAGGGAGAAAGCAGCTCTGAGGGGAAGGATGACTCACGCCTGACTCCCTTAAGCTCTCAAAGGACTGGAAAATTCTGAGGGAACCTGTGGAGGCACGTGTGGGGCTATGGCCCCACCGCCCCCTGCTGGCTGGCTTGCATCTCCCGCTCAGGGATGATTTCTGTCGCATCCCTTACAGACCGTTTTGATGGACCAGGCTCGCTTCCAAGAGCTCCAGCTGCAGCTGGAGCACCTCACCATCCTGGGAGCTGTGTTGCTGGTCACATTCAGCATGGCAGCCCCAGGAATCTCCAGCCAGGCCGACTTTGCTGAGAAACTCAAGATGATCGTGAAGATTCTGCTAACAGATACACATCTGCCGTAAGTGGCCCCTGTGGGACGGCTGGGAGGCAGCGGTGGCAGAGAGCAGACGGTGGCGGTGTCTCCCGGTGCTGGGGGCGGCGGGGTCCCCGGGGCTGCCCTCTGGGACTGGAGAGGAAACCTTGCTGTCTTTATTTCCCCCCAGCAGAACTGATTCGGGTTCCTAGGAACAGCGTTAGTGTCAGTTCTGGGGTCCACGAGGCTCTAGGAGGGTGGCTTTCACATGTTTAGGAGCAAGACCCACCAGAAGAAATTCATTTTTCTGCTGTGACCTAGTACACTGTAACCGGAGTAAAAACTTCACAAAGTGAAACTTGACCCGAACCATGCTTAGTACAAATTCTTATAACATTAAAAACAAAAATACTGCTTGCTACCCACTGAATTGCTCTCACGGCCCCCTAAGAGTTTGGGTGGCACAGCCCTGGGAAAGGTCCTCTAAGAAGTGGGCGACGTCTCCCCAAGTTGCCAGGCCACAAGCAATTTCTGCTCCTGCCCAGATGGCCCGTCAGGTCCATGTGGTTCACGGCCCACAGGATATGTTTTACTGGTTCGAAGTAAATACGGCCTCTGCCAGGCCCGGTTCAGAGGATTCCTTGAGGAGGATGTCCCCACATGTTCTCATCCTTACAAAACGGAGGCCTTTTCCTGCTGAGTTCGCGCAGAGCTTGCCCGCGCTGGGTGTGGTCAGGGGTGCGTGCACAGGCCGGCTGAGGCCGGGAGGGGTTTGCTGAGCTGAGGCCCTGGCACGTCACTGAGGTCTGTCCCCCACATCGTCCGTCCCTCCCCGCCTCCCAGCAGACCTGGTTCTCTACTGTTTAGAGCTTCCGATGAGGGGCCCTGTGTGGGGCTTCCATACAGGGGTCCAGCCCTGCGGTGTCCACACTGGCTTTTGGGTTGGTACCCTCAGAGCTGGTACCAGCAGTGAGTCCCCGGGCTCACTCATTTGTGCCCATGACTCCTGGTGTACAGAGGGTTTAGGCCCAGAACAAAGGCCTCACGGGAAACCCACCAGCAGGAGGACTCCCCACAGATACTCCAGGAGAGCCCAAGGGCTCTGGAAAATCAAGGTGCTCATTTTTTTAACTTCGGGATTTCAGTGTTATTCATTCTTTTAAAGTAGTTAATACCTTCCCATATTTCACAAATCAAAAGGGACAGAAGGATATCTAATGAAAAGTTTCTCTTCCCGTTCTGTCCCACAGCTCCCTGACTCTGGGTTCTTGCGTGTTACCCCAGCGGGATTCAGGGTACTCGTAAGGCAGTTGCAGGATTGTTTCAGCACACAGATGCTAGCAAGAAGTTGGGTTTGGGGTTGTTAGCGCTGGTATAGTCTGAGCCCTTTCCTTCCCAATGTTCTTTCTAGTAGAGAGAGAGAGGGACTCCTGAGTCAGGTTTCCACAGCCTGGAAGGCTGAGGGCAGGGAAGAGAGTCCTCGACTTTCTCTTTGAACATGACAGTCCATGCACTGACTCAGATCATGACTCTTACCAGGGCTCGGGCTCTTACTTGGCCTGAGCTGGGTGGATGTGCACTTTGCTTACTGGCCCTCTCCTCCCTGCCTTCTCTCTTCTCTTCTGTACTCAAGCTCCTTTCATCTGAAGGACGCCCTGACTACCATCGGGGAGAAGGTCTGCCTGGAGGTGAGCAGCTGCCTGGCCCTGTGCGGGCTCACCCCCTTCACCACGGAAAAGGAGGCCGTGCTCAAGGGCCAGATCCAGGCCGTCGCCAGTCCTGACGACCCCATCCGCAGGATCATGGGTACGTTTGTGGGGGGAAGACGGGCAGCAGGGATGTGCCCTTGGAGGGGCTGGCGGACCGGCCCCTCTGAAGAAACCTAGAAGGTTTTGGTAGCTTATGAGTGCTGATGAGTGAGGAGGGAGTGAGTAATCACCACGGCGAGGGCAACCCAGAGTTCTGGACAAGTGACGGGGCTGCTGTCATTGTTCTGAGGGCTCTGACTTTGGAATCACAGGGTTTGTTCAGAGCCCTGCTCCAGCACGTGAGGTAACAAAAAATAGAAGTATTGGTCTCTGCACACCCCCGCCCCCTTCCTAGCTCAGAGCTCCTAAAATTCTTGTAGTTTCCTAAGTGATAAGAGCACTAAGAGCATCTTTTGTTCTAAGACTGGTCTTTGACCTGGATCCTGACATAGAACTCTTAAATCCTTTGGAATTTCCTGGGTGATAGGAGTATCTTTTGTTTTAATGAGGCAACTCTGCGTGGGCTCTGAAAGACCAAGCCAGGATTAGAAGCCTGGAATTTTCAGCCTCCTCCACCCCGCTCCAAGAGAGGAGAAAAGCTCTGGAAATGCCCATGATGAAGCTGCCATAAACATCTCAGAAGTACAGGGTTCGGGGAGCGTCTGGGTTCTGCACATAATGGGAGGGCCGTGTACCCCCACCTCCACAAAAGCGCCTGCCCTCAGGACTCTGTGTTTTTTGTTCTGGTTTTCATGTGTATCCAAATCCTTTATTGTGTAATAAGCAAGTAAACAGAGATGTTTCGCTGAGTGCTGTGAGCTGTTCTAACCAATAATCAATATCTAAAGGGGAGGAGGTCATGGGACCCTCCAGTTTGTAGCTGGGGGGTTCCTGGGGACCTACTGCTTGCAGTTGGTTAGCTTCTGAAATGGGGGCGGGGTGTAGCCTCCTGGGACTGAGCCCCTGGGCTCTGGGCTGTGACATTCCCTCCACGTTGTGTCAGAACGGAGTACAGCAGTGGGACACTCTGCTGCTGTTGCAGACTGTCGCTGGGTGGGGGAAGCCCCTGCCCTCGGCACGCTGCTGTGATGTGCTCGGACGTGCTCGGGATGTGCCGTGAGAGGGGAGGAGAGCAGGGCTTTTCCTCAAGAGCACCGGCGCTGTGGCCCAAGCGGGTGACCCGATGCCTGAGGCTCCTCATCTCTAAAAGATGATACCGACAGCTCTGTGCGGTTGCTGGGAGGACCACAGGGCATTAGGTGCATAAAGCACTTACCAGAATAACCCAGCCCCTCGCAAGTACTCGCTAGAGAGGAGCTGCTGGTAAATAGCTTTCTGTGCTGGCTGTTACTCTTCCTCATCCCAGCCATAGCACTAGGGAAAATTCTGTTCACTGGTTGATCGAAGAATACAGTGTTCCTAATTTGGGGGCGCCTGGCTGGCTCAGAGCATGTGACTCTTGATCTTGGGGTTGTGAGTTCAAGCCCCACGTTGGGTAAAGAGATTACTTAAAAATTAAAAAAAATTTTTTTCATCTAGGGGTGTCTGGGTGGCTCAGTCTATTAAGTGTGAGACTCTTGATTTCAGCTGAGGTCATGATCTCAGGGTTGTGGGATCGAGCCCCGAGTTGGGCCCCGCACCCAACACGGAAGAGTGCTTGAGATGCTGTCTGTCCTCTCCCTCTGCCTTCCCCACCCTTGCACTTGCTCACTCGCTCTCTCAAATAAATCTCTAAAACATTTTTTTCATCTAATTTTAAGAACTATTTCTCTTTAGTATAACTTAAATTTGAAGTCGTTCTTTAGCTACTTTATGAAAGTGAATAGGCGTGCAGCAGAGCAACAGCGAATGGTTAGCAGGCTTCAAGGTAAAGCTGAATGACCCGCGGTTACTGATTTCAGGTTGGACAGAGGCTGAACCAGTGACCTGAGTCTCCTCCTAACTCGGTGACTTCCTTTCTATCCTTAAGTAATATTTTACAGAAGAAGTTCCAGGAATCGACAGTTTTTTCCAAATCACTTCACCCCAGCCCTACATCGCTCCCAGTGTCGTCCGTGGGTCACTCAGGAGGAGCCTCTTGCAGAGAGAAGGACCATCAGGATTAGTGTTAGTGACCGCGGTAGAGAGGACGGAAGGCGGTGAGCAGCGCGCGGGCTAACCCGTGGCTCCATGTCCTGCCGTGCTGGGCTTGAGTAACAGCTGATCGCAGACCTGGGGCTAAAAACCAGTCCTGGGGTCGGGATGCTGTGAGCATCTCCAGTTCTGCGTGAGGCTTCAAGCTCTGAGAACCTTAGAAAACCAAACTAACTTGGGGACAGGGGTGAGGGGACCCATCTGGTCTGCAGTTGCTCTGTCACTGTGTACTGGGGTCCGAAGGGCGAAGGCCATGTGCAGCAGGAAGGGTCCCGCAGGGCAAGTGGAGGGCGTGCGGTTTGAAAGAACCTGATGAATATAGACGCCCCTGCTGCTTTTCTGAGAAAATCTGCGAGAAGTGTGGCTTGGTGCTCTCTCGGCTGATGAGGACAGGCAGAAGCGGCCCGGAGAGGAGGGGCTTACAAAGCATCGGCCTGTGTCATTCCTCAGAGTCGTACAAGTTCGCAGATGCCCGCAGCTCCGTGGCCTGCCCCTGGAGGCGTTACAGAGGGAAGTTCATGCCGCTTACGTGTGGGCTTGGTGGGAAAAGCTCACAGACCCATGATGCTGGAATCTTCTTTTTTTCCTCTTTTCATTTTTGAACTTGTAATTCCTGCTTTACCTCCCCCCTCCCTCCCGCCCCATTTCTTAGGTGCTCTTCAGCAGTGGCTCCCGGTGGTCTCCGGGTGTCTTTCTCCTCAGCCTGTCAACACTGCAGTCTCCTTTTATTGATTCATACATTTATTCTTCCTTTCCGAATGGATTTTGAGCTTCTCCTGGGGCCGGGTCTCCTGCCAGGCTTTGTGCTGTGGGGTGTGGGGGTGTGGGATGGTGGGGGGGCGTGCTTCTACCTAACGGTCTAGAGCAGGAAGGGAAATGTTGGAAGTGCACATGCTCTGGTCCACCCCTGGTCCACGGGGTGGGCAGGGAGGACTTCCCCGGAAAAGGGATGTCTAAGCTAAACACTGAAGCATAATCAGAAGTTTGCAAAGTCACCCTGAACCAGAAGCAACCAGCTGCCTTCTTTTCTGTCACAGATTCCCGAATCCTGATCTTCTTAGAAAGCTACCTTGCCTCGGGTCATCAGAAGCCACTGCCCACGGTACCTGGGGGATTGGGTCCAGTTCAGAAAGAGCTGGAGGAAGTTGCTATTAAATTTGTCCGCCTGGTCAACTATAACAAGATGGTCTTCAGTCCCTACTACGACGCCATCCTCAGTAAGATCCTTGTGCGATCCTGACGCGCCTGCGCTCTCCGGCGGCGGCGGTATTAGCCTCTCGATACAGAATACCTATTCTCGACTCTTGTCTTGCTTTGGAAAATGGCTATTTAGTACATTTCTGTGTAAGAGCCCTGATTCCAAAGGGAAGAATACTGTGTATCACTGTTGAAAAGGGTTGTTGAAAAAGGCCCTGTATTCCAGTTTGAAGGTTTGTATTTATGAGTGCAAGTTTACAAATCAAGAAGCTTCTTGTTCTCTTACGTTTGAGGGGGCACTCCGCTCTTAAACGGTTGACAGCCGCGTGTCTGCACCCGACTCTGTCCTGATTACAGCTGCCTTGTCTTTCCCCGGGGGGCTGGGGCCTCTCTTCCACCATCTGGGTAGTTTTCCTTTCAGACACCCAAGAGGATCTGCCAGCCACCGAGAATGAGAGACCAAGCCATGACCGTGTTGAGACTTTGCCCCCTGCCTGGCACCGACCCTCACTCTTCCCCCCTGCCTGGCACCGACCCTCACTCCCCCCCCCCCCCCCCTGGCACCCCCCCCCCCTCCCCCCACCCCCCCCCCCCAGCTGTTTTGTGTTGGAAGGGCTATACCAAGGCTTATTGCCTCCCTGTACCCCTTTGATTGCTTTCTCCCTGCCTGGCGTAGCCAGAGCTCCAGAGCCCTTTTGTTCTAGAGGGGAGTTAATTGATTTTAAAAAACTTATTCTTTTATACAAAATTATTTCTGAGCCTGGATGATAGCAGTTATGACTTCTGGGATCTAGAGAAAGGAAATTCTTTGACTTTTAAGCTTTGAAAGTTAAGGAGGAAATATTTTTTTAAACCGTATATATGTTGGTGTAATTTAAAAGACACTGGAGTTTTTACTGAAAAATTCACTGATACAATACACAGATGTATTGATTGGATTTGAATTTCAGAAATAGATTTAAAGTGTTTTCAGCTAAAACAGTATAGTGTAAGCTCACTTACTTCTGGGATAAAGGAAGTCCTAGAAAATCCCTGGTTTGGGAGCAGTATTTTTTGAGGAACTTCAGTGACTGGAATTCCTGACCTACCTATCCTGTGGCTGAAAGGGTGGCTGGGCTCTCACAGGTGAACCACTGTGTTAGAATAAAAAGTAAAAGGTGTGTGTGCGTGTGAGTGTGTGTACGTGCGTGTTTTAGACAGGGACACTCCATCAGAAGCAGAGCCGTGAAGTTGGGTGTGAACTCCAAGTCCGGGAACAGGACAAGGAAAAATAATGCAGGGAATCCCTCAAAGTGGTGGGGGCTGCGATGGGGCCGGAGGCAGGCATGGTGGCCTCCCGCCAGAGGAACGTTCGCTTTGTGACTACCGAGTGGTACCGAGCTTCAGGAGACGGTACGCTTGTGCTGGGGCGGGGGGACTGTGATTTCTCCAAATCTGTGCTACAAACTATGTTCTAATAGTGTTTTCTACTTGCAGTCGGAAAAGTATGCTACGTTATGTGGTCAGAAGTCCTATAAAGTTTATACTCAAAGACAAATCTTGCCTCGTTTCATTGGAAGTGACTAGAAGTTCAATAAGTAGAGCTTTAAAAGGACAAAATCACGTCTTTTATAGTGTGTCTTCAAATGAGGTCGCTTCTGGAATTGTTTCTGGAGCTGAGGTTGCTCTGTGGCAGCCATGCTTATTGGTCATGGGGGCCCCCCATCTCCCAGGCTTAGAAGCCCGAGCGCGCTTTAAGTAGGCTCCATGCCCAACACGGGGCTTGAACTCACGACCCGGGGTTCAGGAGTCACATGCTCTACTGACTGAGCCTCCAGCCTGTTGCAGCCCTCCCCCCTAGCCCTCTTTCACTCTCTTGCCTGCCTCAGCCTCTGAGTGTTTGGGGTCTTGTCCTGCCTCAGTCAAGGATGAAGGGGAGGAGCTTTACCCTTCATCCTTGAGTGAAGGGGTGGATAACCACTTCCTGTAGTCATTCTTCCTAAATCTTTACAGTTCTTTTTTTTGCTGCCTTTTCTAAGGGTTCGCTTTTTACCAGATTTCCCGCCCCCTACCATGGGTTCCTAAATTCAGAGTTAAGTTTGTACCATTTGAAATCTTGATGCATATTTTACAGGAACCTGCACAGACTTTCCTCTCCCCACACGCCCCCACCCCTACCTCAGTGTCCACTGGCAGAGTTCTCCAGGTGGCAAAGCCAAGAATGAGGGAGGCAAAATTCAGAATCACAATATTCATATTGAATTTTGTTGTTCTTTGAAGATAAGTGAGCTACTTCCTGGAATCTCATAGGATTATCACTAAGGGCCAGGAAACTTCATTTGGTCCCTCAGGAAATGTTTGTTGAGCATCTCCTTGTAATCCATGCCCCCCCCCCCCCAGCTCTCCCTCCAAGATACGTATCCTTTGGAGCAGAAATTATCTTTCAGAATTGAACTGGTTCTATATAATGCACTTTGATTGGATTTGACGTGATTTTCTACCTAACAGGTTTATGGAAACAAGCGTGTTTTAGGAAAGTGCTGGGTTTATTTGGCGGTAGTGCTTTACTGTGGATAGAACCAAGCACCTTGAGAGTCCGGTCCATCATCGCAGCTGTGTTCAGTTGATCTGATGGTCTCATGGATGCATGAACGTCTAGAGCAGTAACTGCTACTTTGTCAGCTCTTGGTTGGGTGAATGGATTCTCAGCCTAGGTGTTTTTTGAAAATCTCATCACATTTATTTTACTTATTTTTTTAAAGATTTATTTATTTATTTTATTTGACAGAGATCACAAATAGAGAGGCAGGCGGGGTGTGGGGTGGGGAAGCAGGCTCCCTGCTGAGCAGAGAGCCCGACGCAGGGCTCGATCCCAGGACCCTGAAATCATGACCTGAGCTGAAGGCAGAGGCTTAACCCACTGAACCACCCAGGCGCCCCTGAAAATCTCATTACATTTAAAGCAAGCTGTACAACGCGATTGTTTATGTAACCATATAACCTGACTGAAAGTATACTTCAGCTAAGGATATCTTACTGATTGAACGCAGTAAACAGGTGTGTAAGAGCTTTTTTCTCAGAAGAAAAGTTATGAATAAGTCTGACACAGCAGGCTTGTAACGTGCAGATACTGGCTGACGATTGATGGGTTATTTAGCAGTTCTGTTTTTGGGGAGATGCTTATGTTCATTTCTCTAAAACAGCATGATTCCCGGGAATCAAGAGGTGTTGGTGGACCACCTTTCCTGCTGAGTTAAAAAGGAAAGAGGTATTTGCTCTTTGATGTCCAGGGATTTTTGGCATGCTCTGGTTTCTGTGTAGAACGTTTGCATTAATTTTCATTTTGAGGCCGGGTGGTAGAGTGCAAAGACTGGGAGCTGCCAGGAAACCAGATTCTGACCCCATTTCTGTTACATACTACTAACTAGAGCAAATCAGGACCTATTTCTAGCACATGTAAAATGAAAGGAATAGACTTGATCATTAAACGCTTTCCAGTCCTGACATTCTGTGATGTGTCTCAGGGGAGTGATTAAGTACACTGCAGTAGGATCGTGCACAAAGCTCCTGATTGAGGGGACCGTCTGGGTTGGAGTCCCTCCTCTGTTGCCTTCTTACTAGTTGTGTGATATTGGGCCAGTCATTGTCCCTCGGGCTCCTGTATTTTCATGTGTAAAACGGGGAAACGACTCACACTTCCTGTGAGGATTACATTTGAGAATGGATATTAGAATGCTTTGTACAGGGAAAGGACTATGAATTGCCTTGTTAACAACCGAGGAGAGCATATAACCCTCTCCACGTAGGTGTACCTGTGTCTGTGTCTCGCTTCCCTTCAGTGAGTGCATTTTGCAGGCTGGACAGAAGGGTTTCCTTCTGTCCTGGGATTTGTGCTTTTCTTCCGTCATCTCTTCTGTTCTAAAGCTGGTCTTCCCGTTGCTCCTCTCCCTACTTCCATCGCCACCCACCGATTCCTCCCCACTCTCACCTGTGTATTATTTGAACTAAACGATTGCATGAGTGAACAAATGAAGGATGGCAGATGATTGGCTGTGAAACTCCTATTTAAAGGCATTTATCTCATTGAAAACACAATCTAAATAAAGAACCACAATGATGTTTGCAATTGTGTCTTAATATTGGATTTTGTATTCTAGAACTATTTCATTCGTAGTGCTCAAGACAACTTCATGGGATGGAGGAGGAGATAGTCTGTAAACACAATAAGCTCTTTTAATTTGTCAAATGCTCACTGATCCCTTCCGAAAGAGCTAGAGCCCTGGAAAGTAAGTGTCTGGAACCTAAACAGGCAGGATTTAGTTGTTCCCAGCCCCGCTGAGGGTTTCTGTTTCTATTGCCTTCAGAACCTAAGAACTAGGACTCATGTGTAGGCCTGGTTTAGGTTTGAAATCAGATGGGTCTGATGTTAGTAGCACTAGCCACATTTCACCATTTTTACATTTTTTTCTGAACTAAACACCAAGAATGGTTTAAGAGTAACTTCTGACTTAAAGAGCAACCCCAAAACTGAAAAAGCGCCTTCATTTCCATTGTTTTCATTCCTGCCGCCTCCGCTTTCTGAAGTACTATCTTCGTCGTGCTCAAAGCAGAACTCTGGTCAGGGTTCAGGGAGGAAAATTTAGAAAATGGATGAATTGTTTTTCTTGGCTTTTATTCCCAAAGCTTGGTAAGCTGACCCTTTTGTTGAATATGTAAGATTTTACTTAGATCAGGAACATGGTACCGGAGTTTTGTTACTTCATATAAATGATCTGTCAGGACTTCTGAAATTTTTATTAAATAGAACTTCACTTAAAAATATAGTAAGTAGAACTTCACTTGCTGAGTGTCAGGTAAGAGGACTACCGACATTAAGGAAGTTTGCTTTGGGAACTGAAATATTGTAAAAAAATTTATGAACATGGTAACTGTGCTTTTACTGTCGTGTAAATGAACTCTTGGTTTTACATGCTAAGCACAGGCCAATAGAGGGTTATAAAATTACCAGATAAATTTATAATTATTGTTATAGGTTAATATGCTGACAAAAGCATATCTTTTCATTCTTTTCTAATGGTACAAATTTGGTTGTTGAGTTTTACATTTACTTAGTAGCTACTACCTTTTACTTTACTAGGAGTGGCAGGCAACACAGATAAAACCTCTCATGTGAAATTCAGTGCTAGCAGCTAGAGTTTGACTGATTTTGCTCAGGAAGGACTTAGAGTCTTTTCATCTTACTGGGTTCTAGAATTCTCTACAAAATGTCCTTGCTTTTGCTTTTATAAGGAGAAAAAATATGGCTATCTTTCGGAAATTTCTGGGTCTAGCACTATGGACACAGG